AGCGCCGTCACCACGGTGATCGCCACGGTGCCCCTGTTCTTCTGCGTCATCGCGCCCTTCGCCAAGTTCGGCAAGATCGTGGCGCTGAACACCGCGGTGTCTGTGGCGTTCACCCTGAGCGTGGGCGCCGCCCTGCTGGCCACCATGGGCCCCGCGCGCTTCTCCCGCCCCCCTGCGGCTGTGCTGCAGGCTGGCCTGGCTGTGCTGGGCCTGGGGGCCGCAGGCGTGGCCCTGCGCTGGGCGCTGGGGTATCTGGGAGTGCCCGCGGCCTGGAGCTCTTAGCCTGCGCCCCACTCGGCCCTCGTTGCACCCCGCCTTGCTGCCCGAGCCGCTGCTGGAGTTTCAGAAGCCAGGCCCAGACATGCTGGAGGTTTTTAGAAGAGATCAGGGATCCTTTTTTAACATTGAAAATAAAAAATAAATTGAAATCGAACTGGAAGTCCTCTGGTTTGTTCCGAGTCCCGCGTGCCGTGTTTCTGGGGTGTGGGGAAGGGCTCTGGGCCCCTGGGTTGTGGGGGTGCAGTTCCCCGGGGGAGACCGGTGGCCGAGCCCTGTGCTCCGCAGGGAGGAGAAGACAGACCCAGCCCTCACTCCTGGTTCAGCCGTGCCTGCGGGGGGCAGCCCGACGGCCCTTGGGCTCACTCTGCAGGTGGGAGACACACCTGCCTGGACTCCTGCTACTGCACCTGTTCTGGAGCTGGACAGCTGCTGACCATTCAGGGCCTGTCCTGTCCAGCCCAGCCCAGCCCAGCCCTGTCCAGCCCCAGCCCCAGCCCCTGGCCCGGTTCTGACAGCTGACAAACACTGTGCTCCCCAGCTCCAGCCCTGCAGGGTCTAAAGGTGTCCTCAATTAGAGGAATGACTTAATTGATCCATTTTAATTAAGTGCTTCAATTAAACAATTGCGTGCTGGTCTCGGCTGGGCTGCAGTCCCTGACCCAGCAGCGCAGGCAGGAACAGGTAAGCGGAGATCTTCAGGGAGAGCAGGGGCGGGAGGGGCGAGCCCACGAGCCCACGAGCCCGAACACGGTCTCGAGAGACAGCGCGTGGCGGCGATTTTTCTCCGATCCTGGTCGCGCGAGAGGTCGTCGGACGACGTGACCTCAAGTTTTCTTCTGCGCGGTCGAGCGCGGGAGGCGTTGTGGCTGCAGATCTGCCGGCCCCTGTCTGGTGAGTTCGCGCGGCGGGGAGAACAGGCCACGCGGGAGGGAGCTGTTATCTCGTGCGCGCAGCGCGGTTGTTTGCTTTTGCGGGATTTCTTGCGCCGCTCTATACTGGGCTGACGGGACACCGGGCTCGGTTCCGTACCGTGTCATCATGTTGTGCGGGTTCCTGGTCAGCGCGTGCCGGGGAGGAGCTG